ATGCTCTAGCCATCACCGCTTCAGTAGATACAAATGCTACACGTTTACCCTACCTCAAAAGGTCATATCCTATTCACATAGCTTCTGTTTCACTATTCAGATCATAAATAAATTCAACTATCTCACCTATACAAGGCTAATACGTATTATTGACTACACAAATATTTTCACCATGATAAATTTGGAGGAAGTTTAGTGTTGAGATATTTGCGAAGGCATCTATGACCAAAACATGTCTCACAATTTTTAAGACATTACGTATTGCATTTTCAGATTCCTGTGCATTTATATCGCTAGACATTTGACGCATAATGGCATTAGCTTTATCAAGAATAACTACAAATAGACGGACTGTGAATTTAACACGAAAGAGCGGTAAGAGATCCAGATATAGCATGATAAAGAAGAAATATCATGTACTTTATCTTTCAATGCCATAATAATCTCTCTTAATGCAGTAGTTTTCCATGTCCCTGGGGGAGAACGAATAAGTATTGTTATTTTCTCAATACTCAAGAAATTGGGATATACTTCTGGAACATCCTTTAATTTTTTTACATTAATCATCATTTCTGATAATCCTACAAGAGGACGTGGATTTGATATAGCATCACCTATTCTTTTGACTATTCCTCTTTTAAGTTTTGCAGAAACTTCAGTCACTTTTTTAAATGCTAATCCCTTATGATCTGGTTTATAATTTTTCTGCTGATAACATTTGAGTACAAAATAGCTGTTACTTCAAAGAAAGACATATAACTGATCTTTTTCATGTTTGATATTGCAAATGGGACATGTTTTAAATGACCGAGCTTGAAAGTTAATAAATCCCTTTCTAGTATTACCAACCTCAAGTCATCTATATTTTGCGGTAATTAAGTCAGCTCTCACGCTTAAGACAGTTTTATCTTCAATAGGTTGGAATTTCTCTTTTTTCAGCTTCTCAGAGGAAAAGGTTCAGGGCCAGATTTCAGAATAATTGGATTTAGGCTGAACTAAATAATTTTTTAGCTCGCAATATCCTTCCTTAACGGAAGAAATCACAGGTCTTTTAATTCTATCTTCCTTTGCCAATCTAAGAAGACAAGGCTGAAGCGAGATTTATAAAGGTCAAAATAGATAAAAACTGAGTATAGTTTTCTAACTCTATCAGCAACTTTTTTTACAAAACTCTTAAGGTTTTTATAATCAAAGATACATGATATACTAACTGCATTTATTAGCATTAGACGAACTGGCTAAGGCAAAAGCGTCTAATATTATGAAATGATTTAAATCAAAGTTTATAATATCGGTATAGGCAATTAAGATTCTGGATAATAAATCTTCATGAGAAATTTTATATTCATCTAAAGAAAGGAGTTCAGGATTCATGAGATCAGAATATTGTCTTACGTCAATATTCAGAATTAGGCGAAGAGGCAGATTCCTATCAATGCATTCGTGAGCATCAGAAAATCCATAAACTTCAGATGGATGATCAACTACCGTAAAACTCTTTTCTGCTACCTGAATAATATATCTTAAATAAATCTCTTCAGAATGATAGACTTCTAGAAGAGAGATATCATTTTTATTATCAGACAAATATTGAAAATATATATAATCATTATAGTCAGGCTCAAAATCAAGGTCCGCTAATCCTGAAAAGAGCCTGATTACTTTATTTATTGTTTTAGGACCAGGCCCAGTATTTTTTTTGTGTAAGTAGCATGGTAGCATATGCAAGAAATCAGTATAAAATTACATAGAAATTTGCAAAATTTAAAATAAAAATTATATAAAATTTTGAACGAATACACTTGCTGACAAAACACTGGATTAGTGGTAGTACCTAAAAGTAATCAATATAATAATGCTTAAAAATAATCGATGTAGTAGTACTCCAAAGTATCCCAGTGTAGTAACTATACGAGAAAGAGTTTTAGGAATGTAAGGGCAAAAAATAAGGTATAAATTTGATAGTATACCAAAGTAGAATAATATATAAGAAGAAAATAAGAAGTTATGCTTTGATGTATTACCGCTGATAGGTAGAAAAGAGATCGGGAGGGCAGAAAGATTCAGGAGAATACACGAAAAAAGGTATGAAAACAATATAGTCTAAACTAATTCGGCATTTCGTATCTAATTATCAGCAATTAAAAGGGTTACAAAAGGTAGGATTGCAAGAATGATACAACATCAGCACTTCATGTCTCACCTGGTAATCAAAAAGTGAGTGAATAGATTGCAGTACATCTTCAGCAAATAGATGGATTGCAAATTCAGCACTTCATGTCTCATCTAGCAATCAAATGGGCATTTCCAAACCTTTAATCAACTGATTTACTAGACTGAACTCCAAATATTCCTTGAAAGTGTCGAGAAAGTGACAGAAAAGTGTTCAGAACTCAAAGTGCAGAAAATTTTTGCTTAATTTTGGTCAGCACTATTCCATAATTTTGGCTAAAATTAGAACACAATAACTCAGCATCTAAGCTGGCATATAAGAGATCTAAAATTGGCAAATTAATAGAACTACACTACCATCTTGCCAGTTTCTCACCAGTTCCATAACAGTTCCAGGTCACTACCATAGCACTATCATAGCGCTGAGTTGGATTCTCAAATCACGTGCCCTAAAGATCAGCCAAAATTATGACATAGTGTCAGCTAAAATTAAACGCAAATTTACTGCATCACCTAACACAATTTTTTTACTACAATTTAGCATTTAAACAGACAACCAAATAGATGCAAAGGGTAAGCACTTCAATATAGAATCCAGCACCCAATTAGATACAGGAAGTCAGCATCTCGACATAAAACTAGGTATCCAAACAACTATAGAAAGTCAAGAACTTTATTATATAATTTAACATGTAAATGACTCAGAAACAAGAAGAAAAGCGTGGTATTTAGATTATATAGTGGTAGTTAGGTTAAATAGTAGGTAGTAGTTAGATTATGTGGTGGTAAAAAAAATACAGATAGCATGAAAGATTTAAAAGGATAGCTAGAGTATAAAAAAAATACCTGATATGCGAAAATAAATAGATTATATAGTGATAATTAGATTATATTATTTAGATTATATGGTGATAATTAGATTATATTATTTAGATCATATGGTGGTACTCAGATTATATAGTGATACTTAGATCATATGGTAATATTCAAATTATATGGTGGTATTTAGATCATATAGTGGTACCTAGATTATATAATGGTAATATAATCTAGGGCAAGTGGGATACCACCATGTAATATAATTATATTACATGGTGGTATTCCACTCATATTTTGTTATCATATAATATATATTTTTTGCATATGAATATAGATTTAAAAATCATACACTATTTAGATATAATATAAATGTTTAAAGTATATTAGAAATATATTAAAAATATAATAAAAATGTAATGAAAATATATATTATTTCTTAGATTTTCAAATTATTACTTTAATTATTTTAGTAATTTATTTATTAATTAAAATTATTTTTAATTATTTTTAAATATTTTTAAAATATATTATTAAAATTAATACTTTTATAATAAATTTATAATGTTTTCTAAATAAAAATTTAAAAAAAATATAATGAACTGGTAATTTTTAAAAATAAATATATAATAAATTATTATTAAAAAAATTTAAAATTTAAACTTATATATTTTGCTATCTATTAATTTTAGAGTATAAAAATATAATCTTTTAATGGATTTTAATAAGATAATTCAATAAACTAAATTTAATTTTTAAATAATTATTATATAATGAGTTATTTTTAAAAATTAAAAAATCAAAAAATTGATTATAATCTAATAAATTTTATTTTATCTTTTTATAATCATTAAATATTAAAATATTTAAGTTTTCTATACTTATCATTTAAGGAATATAATTAAAATTTTAATAATAAATTATCATTAAATTAAATTTTATATAAATATTTTGATGCTAATTAATTTTGATGATATCAAAATAATTACATTTGTTAAAATACAATTTGTCTGTCAAAATATAATTTAATTAGTAATTCATCAATATTCAAGTATACTTAAAAAATATATATAAATATTAGCTTTAATTTATAAAACCATATTTATTTGAATATGATGATATATAACTAATCATAATAATATTTATAATGTATTTAGATATTATAATTTATATTTTATATAATTTAAAATAATAAATTTATTTTATTTTATATACTATTTATAAATTTGATAATTAATTTTAAATCTATATTATTAAATTGATTTGTAAAACTTAATATTAATTTTATAATTACTTTGCTTATAAAAACATAATAAATTAAGTATAAAAATAAATTTAAAATATAAACCTTTAATTAATTATAAGTTTTAAAATTAAAATATTATATATTTAATTAATAATTATATAATTCAAAAAAAAAATCTCTACAGTAAAAAAATCCGCAATTTACTATGAAATGCCATATTATGATGTAAACAGATATAATTATAAAAAGAAGAATTTTATGTGTCATTTACATTAAAAAATTTATGATATAAAGAAAGAAATAATTACCAAAATTTATCGAATTAATTTTAATTCTTAAGTGTTCTTACTGCTTAAGATTCACTTTGCAATCAATATAATATATATATATTTTTTTTTATTAATGTGTTTATTTGTGTTAAATATTCATGACAAAAAAGCATTTGTGTTCAAATTCATGATTTGACATTATAAACTCATCAATTTGACTATTTCCAATTAGATGTGTAAATACGTTTCTTTAATCACAATGTTCATACTTTATAAATTTACAAGAACTTGTCAGTAGTGAAGACTTCAAAAAAAATAAATAAATATTTGACGTTCTTACCCTTAATAATCCTCATTTATGTGACCCTGTTGATACATGTTTTGTATAAATTAGACACATTATTTGACCATTTACCAATAGCATTATATCTTTGAGTGTCGGATGACCTAATAAAAGAAATACATATTTAATATATATATATATATATGTTATAGCATTATTCACAGTTTACGTACTGTCTATACAACTCCAATCGTTGATTCACTTGATCAATTCGTCCGACAATTTTGTTATCAAGTACAAGACCGACTAACAAATCCTCAACATCCTGTGCTGGGATGTTGAGTTGCTAAAAGCAATTGACAAAAAAAAAAAAAAGCAATACAAGGAGTTAAATATATGCTTTTGATTAATATAAGCGAGTGAATATTTAAGGTGACTTTTTTACCTTCGACACAAATGGAATCTCTATCCGTGTATAAGGTTTAATGAGACGAAGCAACACTTGTGTTCGAATATTCTTAAGAACATCGTCAATGTACGTACGGATGAAAATATCATCCATGATAGTCGCGCGATTGTCTGTAAAGTCGGAAATATAATTACTTGAAATTTTTTTTTTAAAAAAATATTCATCGCATATAACCAACCTTTTAGAATTTTTTCGAATTCCCGAATTTCTTTACGTTGGTATGCGCTAACAAGATTTGTCATAGCAACGATCTGTGGATCATTCTTGTATCTGCAAGGTTAATCAAAGAGTGATTTTAATAAAATGAAAATTAAAAGGCGTTGAGGATGGATACCTACGGCTTTGTCTCTTGAGAATCGAAGGGATTAATTTGCGATTCGGTCAACATGTTTGCTAAAACAAGATATCTACGATTAAATAAGGTTAAGATTAATAGCAATGATATTGGAATGATTTTACGAATCTGACTTTTGCTCACTTTAGCACTTGTATACGTTGAGGGCTTCCGGCTTCATCATAATTCCTAAAAGATTCAAAGAAATCCGTTTGGGCTTTGTCCCACTCCTCTGAAGCGACAAATCAAAATATTTTAAGTAACTTGATACACGTAAGGTAGATCGTCTCACAAAATGTTACTCACTTTCACCCATATGCATCTTCCCTCCACATTCACGAATAACTCCCATTATACGTGGGTGTGGAATAGCAGATTTGACATGTAGGCATTGTTGATATAATGCCTAAATGATGAGGGAGATCATTCAGTATATTAATTTGTAGCATTTTACTACAATAAAAAACCAAACATACGAAACCTTTAATTTTTTGTTATTTTTGGTTTCTGTGTACATTTGAATTTCAAGCGCGAAAATTTCCAATAAGTGAGTACCCTTACGTTGATCATCAGTTCCATCATCCTTTTGGCAAGAAGTATGAAGCTGACGTAGGATCTAAATTAAATCAAGATTTACCTATGGTTTAACAAGAAAAGAAAATTATTAAATAACTTGACCGAAAATTACTGAAGTAGAAATACCTTATTCAAGCGAGTATACTCTTTTCGATCAAGCCAAAGCTTTGCCAATTTTAAATTGGTCTTAACCCATAATCTCTGTAAAAGGGAAACGAATGTTACAAAATGCATAGATTGGTTGATAACTTATATATCATCCTATCTTGACCTCATTTTTAGCTTCTTCTAATGCACTCAGAGTAGTTGAATAAAATTCCTCCATGAAAGCCATATCTTGAGAAGAGGAGATAAAGTCCAAAATATTATTGATACTCTTCTCACTATAATTTCGCGTCACCGCAGATTTTGTGTAAGAAAGAAGTTGCTTGTAATATTTAAGCGTCTGTACACACAATATGTCAGGAGTTAATATAAGATACATAACCGATAAATTATGATCGATAATTAGGTATAATATCCACCGATTCATAATCACCCGCTTTAAAGGATAACTTTGCCATTTGCTTGAGAGCTTTAAATCCCCTGTATTATAACAATTAATTAAGATAACGTTCAACGTAGAAAAATTGCAAATGAATTTCCAATCAAAGTGCTCACCAATCTCCTTTTTCCTGTTCAGTATCCACCACACTCTGAAACTCTTTGATAGCACATTCAGGATCATCTTCCTTTCGCGCTGATCAATTCGAATGTAGATAGAAAATTTTAATAAAGTTGTGATTTTAAAAAAAAAAATAAAAAAAAAAAATAAAACGAATGTATTACTAAATTTATATGAACGTTAATTATATTCAGTAAAACTTAATAAACAATGATAATCGATATCAATTCTCATAAGCCTTTTGATAAATAAAAATACCTTTTGCGTTATAGTACTTATTTTCTAGATCGACGTCAGGTTCTTCCTGTTCGTCGTCTTCATAATCGAAGTTGTAATCCTCCTCATCGTCTTCAAGCATAAAATCATCGTCAGCGTCAGACATTTCTTTTGCAAGAGGGTACTAAATAATGATAATAGGACGGGATTAACACGACAAGAGGACTAGACAAATGCAATTTGCAAAAACGTTGTCGGTTTTTCTGTCATGTGCGCTTACCTGTATTGGAATAAAATCAAATCAAAAAAAATCTGGGGAGATATGATTGGCTGATTTAAAAAAATCCCAAAGTAGATCAAATGACTAATTGTTAGTGGTACAGGAACGAGATATGAATTGATTATAAAATTATAAACAAACGCAAGTTGAATCAATGATCAAAAAAAAAAAAAGGTTTTATTAACAAATATTTAATTGTAAAGATTCAAAATTATAAAAGGAAAGTTATTGAATGGAATAAACAACGTAGTCAGGAAGATAACCTTGTAATTTAACCTGATATTTAAAAATGTTCTTCATTTGGTATATTAAACGCGTGAAATGGCGTTTTCTTCTTTCTTGGAATGTTAAACAAAGTCACACCATATGAACTAGGTTTAGTTCTTATGTTGTGTATCATATCTATTAATTAGACATATCGAAAGTTACTACTACATGTTATAAACCCTGTTGATGATAATTCTTCAAACAAATATTATTAAAAAAGATCAACTATTTAAAAATCACAGACTTCTTTTTTTAATGCTCCACAAAATATAAATAATGCAACCTTTTTTTATCTCTCGCGTGGAAATTTTCCGTAAAGGTTGCACGTTTTTGCGTTTTTTTTTTTCCACGAGTTGTTGAGATTTCAGAAAGAAAAAGATAATTTCACGTGACTACCTGCCAAATAAAATTTTTTTTTCTCTCTTGGGTTACGCACCGACTTATAAAAACAAATAAAATTTTGGAACCCAAACAGATTTTTTTTTTTTTTCAATTAATTTTTTTTTTTTTGTCATCTCACGCCATCAGTGTAAATTTTCATTTTATTTTCCACGAGTTTTGGTAATTAAAGCACAAGTTGACCTTGCAAATACCGAATTAATTAAAATAAGGAACTCTTTTTTAATTTACTTTATTTTTTTTTTATATATAAATGAAGATCAAGATCCTAACAATGTGATTTTCTGAAGTACAAGATTCCACATGGAAAGAAACAATGGAGCAATTTGCTGATGTATTTATTTACCACGTTTCCCAAATCTCTTTTTTTGTTTTAATTGGCTCAAGGGCAAGTAATTAATTTTCTTCATTTGGTTGAGATGTAAAAATATCATTAAGCTTCGCTAATCTGTACAGAAAAAAATTTAAGGTTTAAAATCTAAAAAATCTAAAATTGAATGAATAAAACACCATACTAACAATTACCATAATTAGCAACGTTCATGTTTTTATGAGTATCAAACCCAGTGTAAATAATTTTTTAATTCTCCCAAATCGGAAATTTCAAAAAAGGTTTTTTTTTTTTTTTTTCGTAATCATTTTTCTGGTCCCTAAATTGAGATATTTTTTTATATATATATTAATATTAATAGTTTAGTTAACTATCAAGTGAAAAATGGTGATAAACCAAATACAGCATTATACAGGAATGAAAGAAATCCATCCCGAAAAAGGAATCCAACAGGCAACCAAAACTTTTCTAGTTTCAATGTTGTAAGATTCTGTATGAGTTACCACAGTTTGCAGCCGAAATATGCATAACAAAACTTGTATAACAATCGTAAACGGTAAATACAACTGGTCGTTATAAATTTCTCGATGAAAGTAGGTACAGAAAGATTTTTTTTTTTTTTTTATTATTATTATTATTATTATTATTATTATTTATTATAAATAAAAAATAATAATATAAACAATAGGGAAGTAAATAAATAAGAGGGGGAAAAAATTATTAAAAATGGGGTGTGTCAAAGAAGAAATTCGTTGAAGTGATGAATGGCTCGTTACCAAATGGAGCGAGGTATCGTGCATGGATTAAATAAAAGCGTGAAAATGTAACTGAAAAAGTGAAGGTTAAGTAAACAATGCTTATCACATTTTGTTTACAAGTAACAAATGATCGCAAACAAAGCCCAAAGGAAAATCTTATGGGAATTTAGGTAATATTCCACGCTGTTGATATACTTTTATGTTTACAATAATTTGAAAAAGATGGTAAGGAAATAGATGAACTAATAAACAAAATTAACTATTGCACCAATTATCATTGATTCAACTCATTTCATCCTTCCCACTTCAACTCTATCATCTCCCGAATTCTTGATCAAATATGGTATTCGAACTTCCGACCTCATCTCTTGATCCAACTTCTCAATTCCATTATAAACCCTTGCCATGATGCAGTTTTGACATTTTTTTTTTTCTTTTCCTTGTGCCTTGTTTTTTCCCCTTTTTTTTTTTTTTTACCTTTTTTTTATTTCTTGTTCCTCCCATTTAAATTAAAACAAGTAGCATCCTTTCTTGATCTTTTTTTTCTCTTTCCATCATTTTAAGAATCCATTCATCACTCTTCTTCACACATTCCTTTTTATAGTCTTGTGTGTCGGGTGATTTGTGGTCAGATCTTTATTTTATTGCAATTCCCCTTCCCCCCCCCCCCCCCCCACAATTTTTTTTTCTTATTTTTATTTTTATTATTTCTGTAAAATTTCTGTATTATAGCAATAAAATTAATATTTTTGAAATAACTTTTTCCCAAAATAATTCCCTATTTTTTTTTTTATTTACGCGAAGATTACAAACGCGTAAAAAATTTAAGATTTTCAGACCCTTAAATATTTTTTTATTTTATTTTATTTTATTTTTTTTTTTTGTAGACACTCTACTTTCAAGTTACTTTATTTTATATTATATATATATATATTTTATATATTATATTACCCACATTCTTTCCAAAACCAATATCCCTCATCATCATAATCCGTACAATATAATAATTAATTAAGGCTCTTGATGTAAGTATTTCATATTGGGTAATTTATTACAAGTGGACAATTGCTTTGTCCCCTAAATCGTGCTTGAATTTGCGCATCACCCCCCTCACCTAAATTGAAGTAAAGATAAAAAAAAAAAAAAAAAAAAAAAAAAAAAGACGTGCAGTGGCTGCAAAAGAAAAATCCATTTGATTTCTCTTCTGGGACATTGTTCTTGTGTTCAGCTTTCATTGCCATTATATTTTCCCACACTGCATTTTTGTATAAAAGAAACTAAAAAACGCGACTTTTATACCGATTTCTTTACGCTCCCTTATTTTGCGCGCGTCTTCGTCTCTCTCTTTTTGTACGTGCCACCAAATAGCAGCCACCTTCGTCTTTAATACTTGATATTATTGAAAAATTGGTTTATTTTTTCTTTGATATTTGGTAAAGGTTCGGGAACAAGAAAAAAAAACTGCTCGGCGTTTCAAATTTTTTTTTAAACTAACGATATTTGATATAAATTTTAATATTTTTACCACCTATCTTATCTAATTTATATCACATTCAAAACAAAAAAAAATCACGCATATTACACCTTTCCTTAAATTTTTTTTTTTTTTGACCCGAATTTTTACCTTTACCTCTATTCTTTTTTTTTTTGATAGAACCTTTTTTTTTTTTTTTACTTACGTCCTTTAACATTTTTATTCATAAACAATGCAAGACCCTCAAGTGCTAACGTATATGGAACATCACGATTTAAATAAATTGTTTCCAGAACTCGAAGGTGCGCTGCTTCGTTATCAACCTTCAGATCCTTACGAATTTATTGTCGGTTGTGTGCGATCTATTCAACAAAAGAAGAGAGAGTCTCGAGACTCGCCTTTGTACTCGGTAAAGTATTTATTCTATTTTTTTTTTTTTGTTTACGTAAAAAACCCTTACCTTTTTCGTTTATGTCAAAGTAGAGTTACCGTTTTATGCACTGTTCCCTTTTCGTATTTATTCCTCCGACTTGGAAACAATTCACCGTTTTGTCATATGCGGCCAAGCCACATAACTGTCTAAGCTGTATTCACTAACTTGTACTTCCTTCCTTTTTTTCTTTCTATTACGCGCGCACGCGTATCTTTTACTCGCGTTCTATAATTGTACTACGCCCAAATCATTTTGCAATTCCTCGAACCTTTCATCCTGCCTTGGATCAAAACAAATTGTCAAACCTTTTGAAATTCCTCTTCACTTTTTTTCGATTTGACGAAATGTTTTCGATCTATTTTTCAACAGCAATTGTTTGAAGAGTACGCTACTCAAAACTTGGAACTGAACAGTGTTGCTGGCACTCAACGAAACGTACCATCAACTACTACTTCCGGGCAAATCTGTAAGTTTATTTGTTATTTTATTTTATTTTTTTTTTTTGATCTTCTAATCGTTCATCTTGTGAATCATTGATTTCTAAATTTTTCTCATGATTTATTATATATAGCGGAGCCAAGTAATAATCATAATAGCAGAAAGCGTCAACGTTCTGAAGAGGATACATTGTAAATTCTTTTTTTTTTAAAAAAAAAAAATTTCTTGTACTTTATTACATGTGTTTAAACAATTTTGATCATTCCATTATTCTCTCGTTAATTATTTTCTTCACTTCTTTTTGAACGATATTTTAGAATGGAGATCAGAACACCGCCCTACTTTACCACACATCATCCTCCAGGGCAAAACTTTGATCAGTATGTATCTCATCAACACACTGACGAAACCCTTGTTCATCATCGACGAACGACGTTACCTCCTTCACCACCGAACAACCATCAATTACCTCATACCGCGCGAAACAATCATTCCCGTGTCCCAACCCCAAGGAAGGGACGTCGTATGTCTGTCAGTGCCGAATCCATCAAACCAACAGCCAATCTTGATGAACGTCCAATTATTTATAAATCCGATGAAGCAAAAAAACGAATTGATGAAGCTACTACTCTCAACCTGTTGTTCAAAAATCTCGATCGCGAAACAAAGCAACATGTTGTAAGTACCCGTCCTACGTGTTTGTTTATCACATGACGTATTAATTAAACCTCTGTCATGTGATCTAGGTTGATGCAATGTTCGAAAAACCCGTAGTGGCAAATGAAA